CCAGGCTCCCACAGCCCCACCGTGGGGTGCCAAAGCCCCCCTGGGGTTCTGCTAGTTCCACACCGCCCAGGGGTCCCACAGCCCCCCCGGGGTCCCACAGCCCCCCGGGGTCCCACTCATCTTGCAGCATCTTTGGAATCTCAGAGTCTTGCTGGGATATTGCTCATCCCACAGCATGCCCGGGATTCTGCTCATCCCACGGCATCCCCAGGTTCCTGCAGCATCCCACAGCATCCCTGCATTCCCACAGGATCCCTGGATTCCTACAGGATCCTATGGTGGCTCTTACCTCCATACGTCTTCATACAGCTGCGACCACTGCACGAAAGCATCCTGTCGGTGGCTAGAGCTCCATCCACACTGAGATACCTGTTGAACAGGTTGTTCAGGAAAAACACACCATCTCTTGATTACTGGTTGGATAGTCGGTGGTGGGACATGGCTCAGGGAGATGCGGAGCATCAGAAATGCCTGCAACAGGAATCCCCAAAGGCGAAACATAATCATAAACAAACAGGCACTAAGGTCCGTGCCCTCCTGAGCTGGCAGTGAGTCTGCATTCAGCTCCGTGGTCACTCGTGCGTGGGAGGATGTGAAAAGGGTCAGGAGCTGCAGAATTTCAGAGTTACCCATCCCAGGCAAAAATTAACCTTTGAACACGTTTACATAAAAAAAACAATGCCATGTCTGAATGTTCATATTAAATTTTAATCATTTAAAGACACACTTGCAATTATGTTAGCGCATAAGTAACTCAAGCAATAGCCAGCTTAAACTAAGACTCAGTAAAGACTGACAGAAACGGGACAGCTGGCTATTCCAAACTCATACTAAAAGTGGTCTTAAAACTTCAGATACTGGATTTGCAATAATGATAAATCAACTGAATGAAGCCAGTTAGTATTAATCAGTCCTGTTACAACAGTGATGCAAAAAGCATCTTACCTGAAATAACAAATCAGAGGTTTGGCACTACAGGACCGGAAAGGTGTGACTCCACTGGGACTTGCAGCCAGAAAGCCGGTGGATTCCTCCGTTAGTCCTTACTGAGGAGTACCAAAAAAAGGCCACAGCCTCCACAGCCTGTACTTCTCATTGGGCTGTGATTGCCCAACGTCTCTTCTGAAAGGCGTCGGTGTAATCCGGGATGCAGTCCTGAGCTATTAGTCTAATAAAAGTAATACATGAAAGATGGATAAATAAGAAATATAAAGCACACTAAATGTTGGCATAGTTAAAATGCTGGGAAGTAACTTGATACTCGTGGTTTTCTATTCTTTATTTCTAGGGAAACAAGGCTTCCACGGTATCTCCAGCAGCGCTTGTTGTCTGTCAGGCAGCTGTACCTCTGTACTGATACCTTGTGAACTTCACCGCTTTTAATCAAACTTGACTGAGTAGTTACAGGTCACATATATACCGAGCTTCTTTTAAAGTTTCCTGACAATATGTAGTCAGGAGGAAGAGAGAGGGCTGAGCAGTGCCCCTGCTAAGAGGAGATGTACAGTGTGAGCTCAGCTAGTATGGACAAGGACAACCTCCAAATGCAAATTCGTAAGGGACTAGGCTTTACTGCTTTCAATCCATGCAGAACTATTTGTTTAAAGAGGTAAAAATAGGAAAAAAAATAGAGAGAATGAAACAAATCTTTGCTTACATAAGCTGCAGTGGTAATTGTGGTTGCTCCCACATTTTCCTGTCACTGTGTAGTCTTTTAGCTATAATGTTTTATTCTTGTAGGGTTGCTGTTAGCTCTCCTGTGTAGCCTGTAAATTTAAAGATACAATAAGAGTCTCCATAAACTTAGTGGTCTTAAAAATCCTGTAAAATGCTAACACAAAGACAAGATAAATACAGAGTGAAGTTAATCAAGTGGCAGAGCTTTTCCATCACTCCGTGACCCATCCCAGCAAGCCCAGCAGCTCTCCTGATCCACGTGGGGTGCAGGAGAAGGAGCAGCTTCTCCCTGGTGAGAGCAAAGCTGATCCGTGAGAAAATCCTCGCGACAGGTAACCTTATGAAAATTCATCTGGGCTACGCGTGCTATGTGTACATGCATTGCACATGCAGCACGTGTGGCTCAGGTAGTACAACCCACCCAAGAAGCAACTAATGTAGTCTTAGGAAGTGGGAAAAGAGAGAGGTTGGATCCTTGCTTGAGTCTTAGCACTCAGCTTGCCTGCCCTGACACGGCAATGAGCGCGCCAGCACTGGTGCAGGGTTACGGATAGCGTGACTTGGCTCCGTTGACAAGGAAAGGTAGCAGTAACAGCTTGCTGAACTCCAAGTTCTTACGTGCCCTCCCTCCCGCTTCCCTCAGACTCCTTAACACCAGTATTCGGTTCAGTTATTATTTATTATTGCATTGAAAGGATATTATTTGATTTACAAACACACATAATGTTATTTATAACATTTTTACAAAGCTTGTGAACAATAAAACTATTTTACATAAATATGACTTTCAGTCCTCTCACCACCCGTTATTTATAAATACTTACTTTTCATATTTTTGTACTATTTCCCAGGTCTTCATAACTCCTAATGCTAACACACAGTAGCTGTAGCAGCAGCTTCATCAGAGGAATTGTTTACTCAACCTTTTCTTCATTGGAGCTACTGCACTTGTTACAGCACTGCAGTCCTACAATGGATCCTCCTCTTCCAATTTCTTACCCTCCTGAATTATCATGTCTAGAAAAATCATTCTCAGCAAGAAGCAATCCATTAATGAAGATCCATTAAAACTATTCTTGCACTCGTTAGTGAACTCCTTTGATTTTGTGACACTGCATTGTCCTTTGGGAACACTTCCTGATGCATCCTGTGTTTTCACTTTTGTGGGGTTTTTGTTTTGTTTTATTTTAAGGAAATCAGAGAGATCTCATAATCATAATAATAATAATAATAAAGTCCATACCGGCTGAGGAACGTGCTATGACCAGGTCATTAATAGGTTTTCTGGAACAGGTGGGTAGTTATTTGATTTTAGAAGAAAGAAAGAATGATCAAACTTAACAAAATGCCAAAAGCAAATACCATTTTAAGGAATGTGTGATCTTCTTGGCAAGTAGGTCTTGTTTTAAGATAATGATCCACAGAATCAGCAAATGAGAATTTCTTGGGTTTATAACCGAGTTGATTTCGTGCCTTGTCTATTCGGAAAGTGTGAGTTACAGTAACATTCCACACCTAAAATCCAAAAGGACAGTTACCAAAGTGACTTTAATATCTGATTTTCTAGAATTTGGATGAAAATATGTCAACAATGATATTCAATGGACTTTAAAACATGAATAAAGATAGACATGCAAAAATGTATACATTTTGGAGTGAGATTCTGTCCAGAGCAAACAGAATGAGTTGATGTGGCTGACAGGTGAAGAGCCAAAGCTTGGTGGACTGGGTGCAGAGGGAGTTTGTGACCCTGATTTCTCACTTGTGCATGTGAGACAAAGAACTAAGGAAATCCCATGCAACAGCTCAGCACAATTCCCTCAAACTGGCTCTTCTGTACAGAGAAATGTGCAATGGAACTGGAGGAATCTATTGGAGGAGAGGGCTGTGGCTTCTCAACTGCAGAAATGCGTATCTGAGGAGTGGAGAGTTACGCCCTCCATCTCTGAAAGCATGATGTTACCTTTGAAAGTGTTTTAACTTGCATAGTCTCAATGATTTCTGCTTCAGATATAGAACTAATGTAGAAGTATAAAACCAGACAGATTAACCGTGGAATAACTGAAAAGCTACAGCAGAAGTTAATGAGGTCCATGAGGTCCCTTCAGTGTCCTATTATGTTACATGCTACAATACAGTAGGAGACTAGATGATTAGTTAAAGCATTTTAGCTTATGTTATAAATCATAATATTGTAGAAAAACATAAGTTAGATCAAAATGAGTTTTTCTGGAAGTTTTGTTTTTTGAAGAAAATTCACTTTTCATTCCAATTTAGAATTATTTTTAGTGGACTTTCTCATTATTGCCACCCTAGTATTATGATAACTGCTACCACTTTGACCCGAGGCTCTTGCTCTGTACTCTTGGACCACCTTCCTTTAACAAGTAGTTCCACAGCATAGGACGGCTCGCTGGAAATAACAATGTAATGCCTGTTTTCCTCTTTCTGTCAGCATGTTAGTTGCTCTGTCTTGCACCTCTAGGATGTTTCTCTGGATCACCTAGTCTTCAAGTGAGGATTAATTTCTGATGCTTTTATAAGGAGTGGCCAGGGTGGCATGGAAAAATTGGGCTACAAAATGACTGTGTAAACCCTGAATGGACTATGCCTTGAGCAGAAAAAAAGAGCTCTAATGCTGTCTGCATCCAAAGGGCATACCACATACTTTGTGAGAATATTGGTCAGAAATATATAAACATTCTCTCTTTTTATATATTTACCTCATTCCTTGTCAAGAAAGGTGTAAAGCTAAAAACTGGCTTTAGTATCAGGTGCAGATATTCCATCACAGTGGCTGTGAAACAGAAAGTTACTTAATGAGACAGCTGGATAACAGTAAACTGAGATAATGCTGACATTGCACATCCTGTAATTCCTACTGATATCAGAGGACGCAATTAAGGTGCTAAAGGGAGTACTTAATTTATAAAGTACAGGATGGACTCATTTTATGAATAGCCTTTACACTTCATCTGGTATAATTAATGCCAAATGGCATAAGCAATTATTATGAATTAGAATAATGTTAAGTTATATCATTCCTACAATTTGAGTCCCTGCATTTTATAAAACCATTATGCAGCACTATAGAAATAAGAAAACAAATTTAAAAAATAAATAGCACAATAATTAAATATGTATTTTATTATTTTTACCTGCTATATGAACCAGGAGAACAGGAATATGTATCCAGGGTTTCCTGTAGCCTAATTTTTCAAACTAGAAGGTATAGAAAAGGAAAGAATACCAGAGAATTTGTATCACATCGAGGGTGTCCATGAAGCATAAAAATGGAAGAACGAATGCTGACAAAACATGTATCTAAACTTTTTTCCCACCTAATCTTCCTATCAATACTGGTAGTAAGAAATGCAACTGAAACTCACTGCTCATTCTTCGGTGCCCACCTCCCACCCTTCAAATGCATTTGGGTGGTAAAGGGAAAACAATGCTCTAACCGAGGAGCAAGTGACTGAGACTGGGATACATAACTCCAGTTAGATACAGGCCCATCGTTCCACTGCAATAATTTTATTGGAAAACTTTTCTGTGTTGGCATTGTAGGATCAAACCTTTAACATGCTCCTAAAATTCCAGCCTGATGTTTATGAAAATATGTTGTCTCTTTTTAGCTTTTAAGATAGAATTCTAAATGGCCTTCCCCTTTGTGTTGCAGTTGATGGCAGAACAAAGACATAAACAATGGTTATAAAAGACTGGCTAAGAGGAGAACTTTTCGTGCTCTTTGAGCTTGCTTTACAGAAATGCTCCTGTTCTACACCTCTCAGCTAAATTCTCTCAAAACAAGAAGGGCCAAACTCCAGTTATGTATATCCAAAACTTCCCTTAAAGCCAGTGGGACTTTGGGATATGCAGGGAGAACAAGAATGACTTTAATGTTCAATAATTCAGTAATTAATGTGCATTGAGCTTCATTTAGCTAGTATGGTCTTTTAATTAATGATATGAATAGAGCCCATACAGTGCATTAGAGCTAAATGTATGTGCAATACATACTAGAGGGACTATCCATTCAGAAAATATGACATTTTCACCATCATGTATGTAATACGCCTGACCACTCTGTTAAAGAAGCAGAGAAAAACAATTAGAAAAACACTATACACAGGATGGCATTTTCTTTCTCATGCCTACCTATCTCTCTTGATTTTGTGAATAACACACCAGCATGCATAGAGTGAATGTACACAAATCAGCTCAACAAACTACTTTCATTGGACTTCACTGTGATCTCAAACATGTCTCACACTTTTGGGTAAACCCACAGTGGTAGTAGAGCTAATCATGATTAACCATGGTGTAATGTAGATAAGAGCTTGATTTCACTTTGTAGTAACCCAACTGTTAGAGCATTAAGTTCTTCATGATGTGCAAGGGACAGAATTATCTTCATGAGTCCAACAGAAGTGGCAACACTGACAGCATGTAATACATGCAGCTTTTTGAGGTCAAGTTCCAAATCTCACTAATATTCCGATTAAAACACATTCAGTATATATATTCTGTGAGACATGTCACAGTGCCTGAATCTGCTTTTGGCTTCCAGTCTATCTTCTTCCAGCCTTCTAAATGTGCAGGCAATACTCCCTGGACAGCTACGCCCTGGATGAGGAGTCTATGCAACTGTGAGCACCATGAACACCTGAGTGCCCAAGCAGACCTTGGGAATTTAGGCATTATGTCATTCTAAAACAGCTGTGTACCTTCCAAGCGCTTAACTACTTGACAGCACATGGAGAGACATTCAGACATAGCTGTACCTGTTGTCTATACATTTCTACCAATATAAATGAAGCTGGAGCTTTTGGGAGCTGTGAATGTAGCAGCTGTCGCAACACTGTCAGTTCTGTAATGCTTCATGGTCCTCAGATTGTTGTTGCAATTATGACCAGTAGAATAAAAAGAAAAACCTTTTAAAATTGTCCATTAATGTTGCACATCTCTTTTTGCAATTTTCATCCCTGAAAATTAAACTGGAATGCCTCAGAATGGTTGCTCTAAATTTTGTTATGCATCTAGAGTCAGAATCTATTTTCAAAAGAGCAACAGAATATATAGATTTGTATGATGGTGAATATATTAACGTGGTTAAAAATACTTTTTCCTCCAATCAAGTAGGAAATTATATATTTTCAAAACAGAAAACAGCATCAAAATATTAGCAGAATGTACTTGCATTTGTAGTGTCCATGTGCTTGTGAAGCCACACATTATTTTTGAGAATTTAGCACACAAACTTTTGGAGAACCTTTGATCTCAAAACATCAAAAATTAAACCTATTTGAGAGTTAAAGCTACTGGGACACAATGTTTATATTTTTCACTTACAGCTACATAACCCTTCTCAGAGGTGAGAGCCTCAGCAGCTAGTAAGTGAGCTTGTACTAGATTTCCTATGTGAACCCAGTTCATCTGAACTTTGTGATTCCCAAACTTGAAGTTAAATAGTCTCCGCTGGATATTTACCTGTAGAAACAGAAAACATGAAAAAAGTACATTATTCCTTTGTTATGCAGTATAACATATTCATTTTGGCTCAGCCTTTTGCTGTGCTGTAATTGTATACAAATACAAGAAATGTGTCACAAGAAAAAAACCCAGACATGGGTTTTTAAAACCCATGTGGTGGTTTCATAAATCAGGGACTGATGCGCTAATACGCAGTGGTAAAATATGGTGATATTATAGTGTTTGGCTGAAACTGAAGTGCATATTCGAAAGACAGTATTTCCATCAAACAACCAGGGATGAAAACCTAGTTCTTCTATCATGGCATTTCAGCTTTGCATTTGTTTCTTTTCACTTAAAAGTACAGCTTGATCCTTGCCATTTCTGCAATGCTCATATCATGCCATCTGTTATCTTGCATCATATGACTTGTCATCAAGCTTTCACAACAGTCTTCCTGGAGGAATCGTTAACAACTGTAATCAAGATACTTCCCACTTGTGTTATGCCCTTACGACTACTTGTAGTGTCCTCCAGAGCTGACTACATAACACATACGGCTACTCGTGGCAGGTGGCGCTGCTCTTCTGGTCCATATATGCCCGGTGGACGTAGCACACAAGTGTGGAGCTGACCCCCTCCTTGGAGAGAGAACAAAATGTGATTTTCAGACAACTCTGATATCAACATATGGCTGATGTACCTTGCCTGAATTTTACATTGTGAAAGGACTGGTCTGACCACTCTATGTGATTCAGCTTCCTAGTAACTTGTTTTCCTTTCTGAAGTATAAATTGGAATTCAACAGTAATGAAAGACCCTCGCTTAGCAGCCTGAAAAACTGAGTCCCTCTGACCACAGAAGAGTTTGTCCACAGAAAGACAAATATAACTTTCCTACAGATACGCCTCCTGCTTGACTGACTTTTGCTATTTATTACAGATGTAAGTTTATAACGTACGTATTTGTCCATCATTGTAGACACAAGGAATACTGGAAGAAGATCATAGAATTTGCAATATTTAGACACCTTGCTTGCTTGCAGCTCAATGGCATCACAAAGGAATGAACAGGTCTCTTAAACAGAGGCTTCCAAATGAGTTAGAATATTTTAAATCAAGATGAATACTTTAAGCTCTACATGTGAATCTGTAAGTCGACTCCTCTGACTCCTGAGCATAGGCACAATTACACCTTTTATGTGAGCAAGTGTAACAGGTGGTAGACATTTGCTCAGGAGCTAATCAAGGATGCTAAAATTGAACCCTCACCTAATTTATGTCTGTCAACTTTTCAGTTCAGAGAAATCAGTAGGAATAGCAAAAATATGCATGTAAAAGCAAAGATAAATATTCCCCTTGCCATGTACAGATTTTTAGCCACAGCTATTCATGCATATGTGACTTTAGAAGCCAACACGACCCTGATATTGCCAATCTGTTTAAGAAACTGCAATTATTCTTGCAAGATGCTTGCAAGCCTTCGAGGATGATGAGAATGACCTATTGGATGTTGCTTAGAGATTGGTATTATCAGAGAAGCTTGAAGTGATAGACTGAATGGGGAATAAAAGCACAAATCCTCTATCTATTGTAAAACTGGTAAAATTTTAAGACGATTTGAAGAAGTAAGGTTAATTTTTCTCCTATCTCCCATCTATTGTTTGTATGTAATCTCGTATCTGTCTGGGTATACATACAAAAAAGCTAATTATCTGCTGAAGGGAGGAGTAGAAACAAACAAAAAAAATCCTTATTTCAGTTAACCTAAAGTATACCATTTATTGATAAATAAGTAACCTGAGAACAGAATACCCATTAGCACTACTAATAATAGGAAAAGCCCCAACGTTTTATATGTACCTTTGAGTAAAGTTCCATTAGCAGCAAGAATCATTTGGTCTGCAATTGCCTTTGTTCTAGAATAATGATTAAATTGCTATAAAGAAAGGCAGAATTCAATCAACATTTTAGTCACATTATTGCAACCTGAAAGGCAAACATATGGTTATGTCTGATAACATTTAAATCTAGCCAGCTTGTAGACATCGGCTGAGTAAAACCAAACTAGAAATAACAACAAGATTCAGCAAATATATACTTTGTTTACGACAAAGACACTTATCAGACTTACATTTTAGTTGCACAAGCTTAGCTTTAGAGTGAATTTAAGTCCACCAGTATTTTCTTAACTCACTTTTTGTGCTAGATATACTGAAAAATTAATATCAAGCCAGATGCTCTGATGGGTCATATAATTTTATTATGGAAAAAAAAAATCCATTTTGAATTGGAAAAAGTTTTTTAAACAGTAAGAAAAATTCAGACTTTCCTAAAAATGTTTCCATTTTTTATTGAAGCTATTTGGAAAGTTATAAATAATTCTCTCCCAGCTGTATCTTTTACTATTAACTTTTAAAATTGGACCCATGTGTATTTAAACAATAGGATTCTGGACACAGTTAGGAAATGGTGGTTTAGCAATTACTTATCCACACAAGGTTATTTATTTATCCGTTGAATTTTTTATTGCCATATTTTACACTGAAAAATACACCTAAAAATTACACCATGGCAAATTTTTCTACTCTTAGGAGGCTTATCCCACCCGCTCCACCTTCCTCCATGCCCCACCTCCCTCTGCTGCTTGCTCTTACACAATCACCATTAGAGAAAACATATGATTAGGGCTCAGACAGATGCAACTAATTGTGAATTCCTAAAATGCTTTCTCAGAAGTCTGAGGCGCTGTGCACAAACTGACATTCCGCCAGACACCAACAGAATAGTAGTCAGTCCTGCTGAGGGTTCCTGGATGCAGGATGTACATTCTAAAATTATAGCTTTTAACGGCAGGCAGTGTGCTGGGAGCAGGAAAGAACAACTGGGAAGAGTGGCCAGAATGCAGTGAGCTTCCAATTTCAGCTAGAAAATATTTCCTAAATGATCATAGTAAAGAAGGAAATGGTACTTCCGAGCAGCCCTGTGGTGACTGTAACTACTGCCTGGCCTGTGGCAAGAAAGCAAGGTTTGGGAAGTTCAGAGAAGCAAAAATGTGCACGATAAAGATGTAGAATTTGATATTTAACAATATTCTTCAATGCAAAGGCTCACAGAGGCCATAATATTCAGTATTTACATAGCGGATGGTCCCCTGAAAGCCCTTCCTCTTAAAATATTCTCATTAAACGTCACATTCCACTTCTCTGAAAAATGAGTCATTTGTCATCTGACATCTCTCTAGTTATAGCAGATTACAGTCACTGTGATTTCAGTATTTCTTGATTGATCATGGGTTAATTTTTATTAAGGAAAAATAATTTCATGGAATTTGATGTGCTCTATCGTAAAACAGCTTCTGCTCTCAGAAAAGCCTTCACATGATCTATCTTTTAGAGCACATTAAATGCCATGCCATCACATGAACAAAGTACCTTTTCCAGTGGAAAATATGGCACAGTTTCTTCATCTCCTTCTTCAATAGGATTCCCTCCAAATACCACATTCACTGTACTGGTATATATCAGTCTAGGGATATTTCTTTGTTTGCAGACTACAATGGTATATAAAATAAATTTTTTTAAAATAAAGAGTGAGAAACAATACATGAACTGGCAGTCTCTCTTTTTGAAAACAAACATGTTTATAGAAAAAGTAGTATTTTAATTTTAACACTAACTTATTTAATATAATGTTATCTTTCATTCAGCTGTAATTTTTCATCCCAAATATCTGCTATGTAAATATTACATATTGTGGTCACCCAACATTTTATGATTAGGTACCTCCAACTATCACGTCACCACTGGATTGTAATCATCAGCTGGACAGAGGAATTATCTTGGCAGAGGGTAAAAAGTTCTTCCTTTACTTCAGAAACATTTCTTTAAACATGTTCATTTTACAAACTGAATGGAAAGGAGATGAGGAAGAACATTTCTTGTGACCAAATAGCACTGAAAACTCCCTGCTTCTTTCTGTAGGGGTAGGACTGAAGACAGCAGCCTGTCTGTGGCATTTCAGCAGCGAGCAGTACTGCTTCTTGCACCACAGTTTGATGATGCCTGTGCAGGTAAGTAAAGTCAAACAAGAAAAGGCGCTAGCTCTCTGTGCTGTGTGACAAAACTGCGTTTGTCTCAATCTGTTCGTAAGTGACAAAGGACATGTTAGCAGGAAACACGCTGTTGGCGTATAATCAGTGCACCTTAAATACAAATGAAATCAGTATTATTTACAAAACAAAGTCTTAATTATGGATTCCATTCAAGTGTTAAGATATTGTGTCTAAATTCTGCTCCATATATGTCATTGAGAACTTGAATAACATAATTTCCTTTTGATTTAACAATGCTTCTTAAGTTTAAGTGAATTAATATTCAAAGTCAGGAATTTTTAAAATCTACAGAGCAGTCAGTCCAGTGGCTCATTTTGAAAATAATGAATGTAATTACTGTGTTGTAAATATTTTGAACAAAATACAATAATAATATATATTATTAAAATGTAGATTAACAGGTTCATGCTCCTCCCAGATTCTTGTTTTGTTGGGAGCCTATGGAAATTTGACTTAAAATGTCATGTGGGTTCAGAAGTTGGAGTCAGAAGAAGGGAAAATGTGGCAACCTCTTCTGTCTAATTTAGAGTTTTATTTGCCTACCATTTCACTCTAATTATTCTTGCTTTTTTCAGTAACAACCCACAGGCAGTATGAAAATGGGTCTAAATTAAAACTGCTTTTACCAGTTTGCTTTTTGATTTTTTTGCCATTTGGTTTTTGAGGGAAAAGCAAAGAGAAAGTAGCTTTGGTATCTACAATACACTTTGAAATGTTCTTTCTTGAATTGAATATACAGCAAGACAATAAATTTATTAACATTTTCCAGAGACAGTAGTTAAAAATCAGCATATAGTAAAAAGGGATCATATTTAGACACATGATCAGAAAAGACAGAAGATTTCCTATATTAACATGGCAAAATAATAGCTAAATACACTTAGCACATCTATGGCTCCTGTTATCAAATGTTTACAACACAACAAACAATACAACATTTCTCATGTTATTTCTGTGAGGAAAGAGGATAACACTTCTCCATTACATAGAGTAAAGGGAAAAAATAACCAGTACATGGAGAAAAGTTTGAGTTGGTCTGCCAAGGAATGAAATCCAGATTGAAAACCTATCCCTAGTTCAAACCAGTGGCAAACCTACCAGTTTTAATGGGACCTGCACACCTAGCTTTACATCATACTCTGAAAGGAGAGAGAGAAGAGCCTCATTTTACTGCCAAATTAACACAGGAAACATCCAATTAGAAGTGTTTTTTTTTAAATTCATGGTTTGGATCAGACACAAAGAAAGAAAATCTAGGTACATACCATCAATTATTATTTTTGTGCCTCCGACATTTATGGATTCAATCTGATCTTTCTTCTGAAGCTAGAAATAGAGTTTGCACAATATCTAATTAATTGAACAAGTGACATTCACTATGCAATTGTTACAATTGCCAAATCTAGAAGTTGTGGCCTTTTTGTGATGTGTATGTTAGTTCTCTGTCCTTCTGACACACAGTGATTTCTAAAACAGTTCTCATTTTTATTGTCTTGTTCAGCGTATGAATAAATAAAGGTGAAAAATGAAAGATAAAACGCATCTGAAAGGAAATTATAATGCTTCAAATTTTTTGTTGCACCCCAGATAATCCATGATACAGAAAAAGGAATTGCAGGCAGGGGTTATGCTCCTTGAAAGCTTTCACAAATTCTTGTTCCAGTGGAAATATCTCCTGTTCCTAGAAATAAATTACAAGTTTCATGGCTTTGATAACACCCTCTGTGAACATCACTGTTATTTAGCATAACTATATTGAGTTGCTGTGACTGAGTTCACAAGAAGAAAAAGCATCAACATTAGTTCTAGAGCAATATAGTTACACTTTTTCAGATTAGAGAAAAAGGATATGCCTTCTTATCCAAGATCTTAACTCTATGATCTAATTTTTCTAGAGCATTTTGTGTAGTACATCAATTGCATGCTTTGACATTTATTATTAAAGGAATACTTCCGTCGTTGCCTGTGTGGATGACTTGACCTTTATAACTAACTTCTGTCTGACATAAATATCACATAATTACATTCTTTGCTACATACACACAAATTTTTGCTTTCACAAGAACAAAGAAAGAAAACTTTAGGAAAATTGTACTTGCTTGTTCTAATCCTGACATTCCACATGCAGCCACATGAAAAACACAGTCAACCCCTTCAGATGCTTTGAACACTGCATCATAATCCCTCACATCGCCCTGTAAAACGAGAAAAGAATGGATTTTTGACTAGTAGAGCTCTTTACATTCTCTATAGAATTATTATTAACTATGGCTATTAATAAAAATCTAAAGCAATTCTGATGTCTTTTTCACAATACTTAACTAGTATTAAATAAAACATGGAGAAAAATCCATGACTAAGAATTTTGTCAGTATTCTGTTGCAAAACAAATATGACTCTTGTTGGCTTCAATTATAATGCATATTTTCACACTTAGTCCTGCAGTCTGCAGGCTGGCAAAACTTGTTTGACTTGAATGGGAGCAGCATATGCTTGAGGGCTGGAGAATCAAGCCCCAAGGACAATAAATCATAGCAGGAAGGGTTCAGCTGCTTGCCATGGCATCACCAAATAAGAGGAACCCCTTTTCCGCAAGATCTGGCTTGTGCAATCTGGACAAATGCCTCTTTGCCCATCTAAGCTTTGCTTTAGCTGCCCTGCATGATAAATGTAATTACAGTTTTGAACAAGATTAAAACAAAAGAGTACACACTATATGCATTCAATATTGTATTAGTAAACATTAGTGTATTATAATGACATTCTGTGAAATGCTATATGCTACTGAACACTGCATTGTATTAAATATATGCACATTATATCTAGTATCAAATGCTATGCTGTGCTTAGAATATTATATTGCATTTTTGTATCTCAAGTAATACTATATAACGCTCCACATATACACAGATATCAATAAAAATATGATATGTTTCATTTCAGAATTACATCATTTCAAAATATTAGATATTATTTAATTTACTGTAACAAAATTGATAGAAAAATCGCAAAAGAAATGGCAAGAGATAATATTAAGAGGTAATCTAATCAATCTTTAACTCTCAACTTTTTTCTTTTGAGGTTGCTAAAGTATTTCACAAATATGGCTGACTTACACTTCCTACCTTCAATCAAATGATAAAATAGTGTCCTGGTTTTAGCTAAAACCAGGACAAATAGCTAACCAGTATAAGCAATATTAGCAATCTCCAAATCACCCATCAAGGCTCAGATCTCTGACGTGACTTACTACTTTATTTACTAGGACTCCATAGTTCCATTTTCTAGGTTATTCACCTATACTTTATAACATTTATTTTTTTAAATTGAAGTATAAGAAAACTGTTCTCAGAAGATCTTTTGTCAGATGTCCTGAGTCTCCTTTAGAAGATGTAAATTGCCAACTTAAATCAAATTATGTGGATTTATATAATTAACAAATCAAGCTTAAGGTTTTTGAATGGTTCCTCAATAATACATTATTTCTTTTCCATATTCTGTTAAAGCTGGTTATAAAATTGAACTTAACAACTGTCCTGGGTAAGACTAAAGATCTGCTTAGCCTGGTATTCTGTCCACTACACAGCCGTGCAGAGCAGTATCATGCATCCCCTTTTGCCTCCTGTACCGCCTGTCTCACATGGTGATGCAGCCAGGAGAAAATCCGGCATCACCTCGATAGCTCATGGAACAAAGATCCTGTGATCACTTTCACCTCTGTCATCAACTTTCTAGTTCTAGTGGTGGTGTCAAAAGAGTTCTTACACCAAATGCTCAGACAAGGTCAGCTGAATGATACCCTACATCTAGCCAGCACTTGTGCAAGATGGCAGGAGCACGCGGAACGTGCCAGTGCCCCCCTGTGCACCCAGACCCCCAAACCTGAGTGGGTGAAGCAGCTGTGCGGAGCTGGTGCTCGCCACATCAGGGAGCAGTAGGGGATGCTGTCCTCCACAGATGACTCTGAGCCGTTAAATATTTGAGGTCTTTTTCGCCCCCCCTCTTTTGCAGACATAACAAATTCCTTGAATTTTTAAGAATCAAAAGGAATCAGTGCTCCTAAGTGGGTGCCCTGGGAAGAGCAGAAACAGCATATGTGACACTTTCCCCCAGAATACTCTTCCAGTCTCCAAGTATTTTCATTCATAAGATTTCTTGAGCCTAATTTAGCTTACCTATTCAGTAATCGCCAATGGAAGTAAATTTTTGGTGAGGCTTTGTACATGCCTTTTACGCAGTGCATGAAAGAACAATCTCTGTTTGTTTGTGTTGAACTGACTCCTGATTTCACTTGAGGGCCCTTCCTTCTTGTACTGGAAAGGACAGTGAACAGTCAATCCCTACCCGTCTCCATGCCACTTGTAGTTTGTAGAGCTCTCCCACTCCTGAGTTATCTCTTCCCCAGGCTGGAAAGTCCTAGTTTCCTCAACCATTTTCTGCACAGTAGAACCATTTTCTGCACATTTGTGATCACTTTTATTGCCCTGTCTTGCTCTCATCTTGTTACTACGAATAATTTCCCTGAGCAGTAAACTTTGTCACTTCATTGTTCACTCCTTCACCTAGGTGAGCTATGGATGTGTTGAATGGCACTCTCAACACAGGACTCTCTAGAACTGACCACTTAGACTTCTGTTTGCCATCTCTTCATCAGTTACTTATGCATGTGAGGACCTTTTACCATGACTTCTTATTGTCCTTAAAGGCTTTTCAGTAAATGGTTTTATCAAGAACCTTTAAGAGGAAGCCTTGCTAATGTGTGTAAAAGTAGTACACGTTTATTTCACTCCTGTTAAATATATGATTTCAACATACCTTGAAAAAATCTGCTCCGTTTGGAATCTCCCATTTAGGTTTCCGTACATCAAACAGAACAACAGCAATTCCTGACCTGACAAGAGCACATCCCAGATTGTATCCAAGGTAGCCTCCACCTCCTGTCACCATAGTCTTTCTGCTTCTGTTAACCAGTGCTCCAGCATGCTTGTTTAGTTTGCTCTGACATGGTTGGCTGCTGTGGAGCTCTTCTGTTAATCCTTCTTGCATCATGACTGTAAGATAGAAGATGCCTTGAAAATTCCTGTGTAACACTGAGATCTGGATAATTTTGGTAAATTTCATGATACAATGCTCCTTTCACAATACTATCTTTATATATTTTTAGTATCTTAATAAGTTTAAAATGTATACATTTGTAATTTTGGTGATGAGTTGTCCATATACAATGAGTAATGAGTCTGAATACTTTTATATTCCAAAATTTTGTCTTTTACTTGTACCCACAAGTTTCATGTTATATAGAAATGGAGAGAAATTACAGGATTTCAGAGACATTGTAATTACCTAATCTTAACAGAATCATAGAACCATAGAATCGTTAGGGCTGGAAGGGACCTTCAAAGGTCATCTAGTCCAACCCCCCTGCAAGGAACAGGGATATCTCCAACTAGATCAGGTTGCTCAGGATATAATTACATTTTTGAATGCCTGGTATATCAAACATTTTATCCTTGAAAACTCATTGACTTCCAATATATTAATGCCAAACAGATGTTAGCCTACTAGTCAGTGAAAAAGAAAGTTAGATAAGGAATATAAGAAAGGATTGATTCTGCTTTTAAAATCCACTTTATTGCACGTTTGAGTCACAGTTCTTCAGTAATGATAAACATTTATTACCATTTTAAACTTTTCTGATTACACACTAAATAATTTTCTGACCAGTTCTTACTCACTTTTGTCTATATTCTCATCACAGCATTCACATACAGCTAAACTGACAAGGAACAGAATGGATAAGCCATCTGCCCTGTGGGTTCATCTAGTTGGGAAAACTGATTAGAATATCAATGCTGTGATAAAAAATTCCACAGGAGTTACCTATCTGCATGCTTTTTTTCTGTATTAAAAATGAGTTTATTCTACAATAATCACTTCTTTTTTTTTAAAAAAAAAGAATGTAAACAGTTTCCTGTAAGAAAAGATCTATTTCCAGAATCAGTAACTTCTTTATTTCTCTAAATTTATAGGAGCTATTCTGATTTATTAATGTATTCTGCATGATGAGCATAGTTACATCTTATGCAGTGCATGGAAAGAGTTGCTCTTACCTCCCCTACTGCCATTTCAAATATTAGAAATGCAGAAATTACTTCCCATAAAAAGGTAGAGTCAAACATTTCAGGTTTTTAAAAATAGCTAAAGAAGTAGTAAATACCTTGGTAGAATCCTGGACGTCAGCTTTCTCCCAGTCCTTCCTGTCCAAGTAAGATGGTGAGACTTCTCTTTGCTGGACAATTAGTAACACAAGGGCATCAGGTACTCTCAGACAAACAGAGATGTTCACGTGTGCTCAGGCCCTTTTGCTGTTCCTGCTCCTTTGTAGCTTGTGCCTGGGCTAGGAGCCAAAAAAGGGCAGGGCTTAATTTGTACATAATTTACGTTCCTTTTCAGGAAAAAATGAACTATTTCACCACATCAGACCTAAATAGAATGGTATCCCTTATTGTTGTTACCTGGTAAGAATACTGATATGACACTAGACAATGCAAATATATTATTGGTACCATCATTCTGTAGATGAATTGTACTTGATTACTCAAACATCTCACAATGTTTTTATAAAGTAAAGAGAGTTCTTTACTAAAGAAAAACAGGAAATAAATTCTTAATACTAATGTTTATAAGTGAACTTCTCTCAAAGTTGTGTGAAACTATGGTAGGACACATCTCATCTAGAAGCAGAGTGAATGGAAATGCTTTCTCCTTCTACCTGTGATTTTCAATCTAAATTTGGATAATGAGAAGAAACAAAAATCTTGTTTGGCAGTGGTACTTAGCACTTTCATCCTGACTTTTCTATCTTCATCCCCAACCCAATTACGTATTTGCAAAGAGGCACGAAAGTTGTTCTCCGTCTTCCAAGGCGAATGAAGTATAGGCACCAAACTAACTGATATTCAATAGAACAGGAAAAGGTGATTTATTATTAAATAATGCATTTAAAATTAATAATGAGTTAAATGATTAATAATTATAGAAGTTCTCCCATCAAAAGATTTTAAAGTACTTTTAAAACGCATATGCTTTTGGATATTAAACAATGAGAAATCAAAGCCAATATTTTTAAATGGGTGTGTCTAAAATTAGGTCTTGAAGCAGTAGTGTTAAGATGCTAAAGAAACACTCCCAAATCTAAATATAAATGACTACAATTTTAAATGTTGGCATGTTAGAAATATCTCAAGTTCACAGGTGACTTTGCATTTTAAATGTAATTTAATGTTCATGTGCTGACAAGAACTCAAGCTGACACCTAGGCAAATATATTTTAGCATAACGTATACGTATTTAAGACCCTATAGTCTGCATTAGAATTAGAATCTTTGAACCTGTCAAGCTAGTCTAGACTTCTCAGATTGCCAGATGAGTGACAAACCCCCAAGAATACAGAATTATCTGCTTTGTGCTGTCCGCAGCACTGATAGCTTTTACCGTTCAATCCAAGAAAGTGGCCATTCTATCCCTGGACTGCTGCAGAAGTCCTCCACAAAGCGGCTGATCAGCTTATTCATAGTGTATCAATCCCTCATTGCTCAGTGAAAATCAACAAAGAGTATTTTAACTTGGCTTTGGATTCCACCTTAGCCAGAAGGAGACACCTCAGAAGAGCTTTCAGAACTGGTATTTTGTACCTCTTTGTTACTCTTATTCTCATATCTTTAATGAAGAATAGGAGTGGCCATATTTTATTCACTGCATCCTGCAAAGTCTTTTGAAAAGCAACAGAAGCTAAAGTTACAATGAGAAAAGCTGCTGCATTAAGATTTAAGCTTGCTTTTGGTCTTGAATTGCAAACCTATACTGTCCTTTTCTGCTTTTTCTCCAACAACCACTCAAAGTTCTTGTAGGCATGTTGGCTTATCAAAATGTTACTCACATCCAGACTGTAAAGCAATGTTGAAATGTAATTCCACTGTTTTGTAGAGGAACCTAGTAAACTTACACAAGCTGATTTCAAATCACATGCTGAGACATCCACTGACAGATCTGAACTGAATAAGGAAGACTCAGCTTAAGAAAGACAAGACACTACATGTCTCCAGTATCAAAGGAACAATCCGTGGGCATCAGTGCTGGGTACAGGACCACAGAGAGACATTAGATCATGGCCTAGGAGACATGTGTGGAGACTGAGGCTTTGTCCCTTTCATTCAGCAGGTCCCATTATCTTCACAGGTCTGCTTTTTAGGCCACAGAACAGGAGCGATGCTCCAGCTGTGAGGTAATAACCTGAACGAGGGGTTTTAATTGTGTGGAAGATACTATGCAGAAAGGAACATTTAACAGAGACATAACCATAGCATAAAGAGCTAGACAGAGGTCTGAGTTACAACGACAGCCGGATGTTTGGCCTGAGTCATAGGTAGGATGGGATGTTCTGCTGTGCCCAAGGGCAGAAGAATAGCAGAAATGTTTAAGAAACCAAGCTCTCTCTTAAAGCTATCTCAAGGATAGGATTTGGCTCAAATAACTGCAGCATAAAAACATCCTCTTCATTTGACTTATTAAAAGTTCTATATCTAAGCCATAAATTAGTAAAGCTGTCCAGGCCCATCTGTGCTTGAATACCTCCTTGTGTGCTTGTTCACATCCAGATGCTCAGTCATATGTACTGACACAATAATATGAACTCAGAGTGGCAAGACTTGTTTGGACAGCGTACCAAATCACTGATCCTCTCTGCAACCCCAAAGAAGTCTGGACAGATCTGTTGCAGGGTGTAAGTACTTTTGACTGAAGGTACTCAGCTCTTTGTGACTACAAAAACAATCATTCTCATAACAAGGACTGAGTCTAAAATAACAAAGAGCTGAGAGAAGTGAAGCGACAATGGTGAGACAATGAAGTCTCGCAATGTAAATGGAAAAGAGGAAAAGAATGAAACTCTCCTCTAAACATCATACCTTGCTGCGCTTAGAATTTTTGCTTCAATAGAGAAATCATGGGATCTGAATTTGGGAAAGGAAACTTAAGAATATTTATTCTTCATATAATCAAATGCTAAACTTCAGCCCATATCAAATATTTCTAAGGAATTAAGTCATTCTTAAAAAGTTTCCCAACACAATATTAGTGCAACAACAGATGTAATTTAATACCCAAAGCAGGCATCATTCAAATGCACAATTGAATACTTTATGATAATACAACATTCGTCACATTCCTTATTAAGTTAGAAAAGTAAGATACAGAGGCAAAGTAACTTACCCATGTCACACTGTAAGCCCAGGCCAGAAGGGAAAAGAAGATGCAGACTCTTATTCCTGTTATTAGACAAAAGGCGTATTTTCAATGCCTAATACAGCGAAAAAACAACTGTATGCCAGGTCTAAGTTAAGATCCTTTGGGCAGTAAGCTCCCTCTGATTTTTTGTTAGGCAAAGATATTAAGCATACATCACTATGCATTTAGTAGCTTGTATTTTGTAAAGACATTTTTTCTGTATAGCACTGTAATTACACGTTACTGTATAATAGAAGAAAGGTACAAATATGCATTTAGTAGAGATGATACTACGCTTTTTGTTTTTCTCATGTCCTGTCATCTGTTAGTGGCTTTTTCTTTTCAATACTATCAGATATGGTGTTTCTAAACCCAATAATATCTAGTACTTAAAACAGATTTTTCCTCCTAAAAAAATGTCTGAAAAATCAAGGTTTTATACTATATTCTTCAGACAGCTAGCTGCAAAGCTAAAAGATCAGATTCTTCTTAAATCCCTCAATTCTTCATTAACATACATAAACATTCTCACTCTATTTCTTCCTTTTTCCTATGTCTTTGTGCATTTGTGTTACAACTCTGCATATTTCACCATTTGCTCATGGAAGAAATTAAAGCACACATAAATACTTCAAAGCACAGCCTTGGAATGTGTCACATAAAATGCTTTTCAAGTTATGCTGTTCTCATTTACTTTGCATTCGTGGTTACGTTGCATGCTACACAGATTGATTTACAGGTCAAACGGAATGATAACTATG